AAGTCACATAACCACAACATTACCTGCATTTCACCAACAAAAAATTTTGTCCAGCGGGGAAATTGGAAGAAGTTGGAAGTGTACATTGCGCAGCTACTCCAATGGCTTTTTACCCAAAATCTGTTGGAACGTTCCAGAACCGTTCATTTGATCCCCCATTGCTAAGTTCTTCCATTAGATGGATTATGCATTATAATTAATTGCAAGTCTTTACTCCACAGTTAAATACAAAAATACAATAAAAAAAGGACTTGTTATTAAATGATGATTAAGAGAACAGTAATATTAAACCGTGTACATAATGAGGGGTGGGCATAAAAAAGCAAACAGAAATATTAGTATTTTTTAAAGAGAAGGACAACACTGCCCATTGGTAAGATACAATCATAGAAATGAATGAGTTCAAATCGGTTATTTTATAAGAAAAGGAGCATTAATGACGACACACAAATAACGCCACAAACAAACAGTGAAAGAGGACCCTTTTAAACCTTTTTGGAAACAGTTTGTACAATATTTGTGGAAATTTCACAACAAGAAAAGCCAGAACCAGGTTGCTCTTTCGCCAGTAATTTGAAGATCTTCAGGAAAAATTTGCATCATACACAGACAGGTAACTGTGCAAGAAAAGAACAAACACTTTTCAAAACAGCAAGTTTTTCCAATTTCAAAATTTACAAAAGGAGTCAGTCAAATTTGGTCATTTCAACATTCAGTTGACGACCGCTTTGACCAACAAAAAAAAAAAGCGATAGCAACAACCATTGTAACATTATATTATAAGGGTCTACAAGAAACAAGTAGGCACCTTATCAATCACACATTATACACATGATACAGTGACATTATCAGACTTAACAACAATGCAATACTGTGTGTATTATAAAATTAAGAAGTGAGCTCAGCATGTGTGTTTTTTAGCCTGCAGTGAGTGCGGTCTGCAAAAAAAACCACACTAGTTACACAAGAGGTTTTTTTAACAGAAATAAAAAATGCAGTTGATTAACACTTTGTGATTATTATAATACTAATATTATTATTAAATATGACACAATTAGTCGTGCATGCAATAATAAAAACGCAAAAAAAACCTAAGTGAATGACAAAAAAAGTGTATATTTTCTCAGTAATTCTCTCAGCTACTCTTTGACTTTACCTTGAGCTCTGTCATTTCCCAAAACATGGATTAGTAAAATTTAACAAAAGTATTTAATAGTCAATACACTACAAAACACTGATCATGTGAAAATGGACTCTGCTTTTCCTATCAAAAGTGAACAAAAAAATGCAAAAAAAATCAATAAATTTGATCTTATTGACATTACCACTTCCCGGGTGATTTCCATGCAGAAAATTCGAATTTTAATGATAGGACCATTTTTTAAAAGTTAATAGGGAGTGTATATAGATCCGGTAACCGGGAACAAAGTCACAAAGTATACAGACCCGGTAGGGGAACTCTTTTGTGATTTCGGAGAGTTATAGCGCCCTCTTGGCTCAGGGTTGACCTAGGTTCTTCTAGATATCTATGGCCTAGGTCTAGATCTAGGCAGACAGACATAAATCTTTGATCTAGTTTCGCGGCTAGCCTAGATCTAGATCTTTATATAAATGAAGATTGCGGATGTCTTTTCGATGAACGATCGTTTTTCCTCCGTTTTGGAGTTCGAGGAATGGCAATTTGAAGAAAAGAACAATGTCATAATTTCAATCGAGCAGCCACCCTCTCTATTTCTCTGCCTCTCTCTCTCCTCTGTGTATCGCTCCCTTCTCTTTTTCTTTGTTTGTCTCTGTCTTTCTTTGTCCCCACCTATTTCCCACTTTATCTTTCTCTCGTTCCCTCCTGCCAACTGGGGCATGTCATACATTTTGCTAGCACCTCTCTCTCTCTCTTAGCTCCAGATATCTCTCCTCTCTCTCTCTCTCACACACACAAACACACACACACACACACACTAGATTTCTATCGGGTCTGGGCGCTGAAACTTTCCGAAATCACAAATGAGTTTCCCTACCGCGTCTGTATACTTCGAGACTTTGTTCCCGGTTACCGGGTCTGTATACACTTCGAAGTTAATAAGCTTTTAAACCTAGAATCTACTTTATTTTATTCTAAATTTAAATGGTCAATTCTGACACCATGTTTGTTGATACTGACATTACATCATTTATATTTTGGAACCTACCATTCTACTGAACACAATAAATTAACAATGCAAGCCTTTGAACTGGTAATATCTCTGAAAACAGTTTGGAGTTGTAACATTTTGCACTCACATGCATAGGCTTTTATAGAATCTATATCTAAATCTCTGGTATTTGATTTAATTTATAGGCAACTATTCAAATGTATATATATCTATGACCTATGCCTCATGAACCAGTTTTTTCCAGGAAGAGATCAAAACTGCCTTTAAAAAACCTGAAAAACACACATCCTGTAGACAGTAGACTACAAGTACAAGGCTCCTTTAGATTAGGCTTGAATTACACTACACTAGAGCCTAGAGCAGCTACAACTTTTATCACTACTTGATAACTATTGCATTAGCCTATGATAAGCTTTGGACTAAGACTATGGGGAAACTTCTGAGAAAATGTTTTTAGCGGTGGTGATGACTAGCCCAGATTTGGCATCACCCTTTGCTCTAAACCGGGAAATCCACTCCTTGATAAGGGTTTATATCCGAAGCCCTTTGCCAGCTGAGTGGGAGTAAGGAGAATTAGCTACTACTATCTCTTGTTGACACACTTGTCAATGTAATCTCTGAGTACACTTGACCATGTCAACCACGGCTTCACACCTGATAGCAACATGGGATTTCTTTTTCGATAATGAACTTAAAATAGATTAGGATCTCTTCCACGTAAAAAAAAAAACCCTTTCTTTTCTCAAGAATTGTAATATCTAGATCAAGGCTTGGTTGATTTTTGTACAATCAAATTCATGGTACAAATTAAGGCCCTTCGATAAATTAAATTAAATAAACCAAAACCCAAGCTACTTTTGTCTGCAGGAACTTAGCTTAAGGGTGAAGTCAACTGCCTACACTGAGCAACAAGAAATCTGAACCTGATAAACTGATACACAAACCATAGAGGCCTAGATCTATATAGGCAGAGTCATTTTGATTCCTTTTTATCAAATTAACATGTCATTGTCATTAATGGCAAGATAGTCTAGGAAAGAAACCTACCATCCATATATATTGCTTACTAAGATCTAGATTTTCTCTGCCTTCTTTTAATTCTGTGAATGCCATGCTTTTACTAAAAAGAACCAAAACCCAAAATTAGATCTCTAGATCTAGATCTAGATCTAACCGTAAAAACATAGATCTAAATCTAGAAGCTGCTTATACTTATAGGCCAGGCCCCTATTTTAAAGTAGGTAGTGTCAATTGCCACCGAGTAAATTGGAGTTGGAGCTCTTTTACGTTGGTGGGTAGATCTGGCTTATTGTTGTGCTCGAGTGCTCGGTGTTGTGCGTTCGCCTCTCTGTCCCACTGTGTGTGTGTCTTTTCCTGACCCCCGTCTCCTGATTTATGTTCCCTGATTCAGGCCTGATATAACGTGAATTCCGGCTTGAGTTCGTGTGCGTTTGTGACCTTCTACTTCTAGATCTAGAATTGTCTGTGTTGGTTCTACACCATAGTCTAAGTGTGTAGGCTAAGGCTAGTCTCGATCTAGATCTAGATATGTCTCATTGAAAACACGCCAAGTTGGTATCATAGCTCTAGACTAGTCATCCAATGAAATTAGTTGAGGACAAATTGACCCATTAGACACACATTATGTATAATGCTAAAGATAGTGTTGTTTTCAGACTTGAAACCACTTCACTCGGTGGCAATTGACAAAAAGTCAATTTTTGTCAGTTGCCACTGCGTCACTCGGTGGCAATTGATGCTACCTTTAAAGTAGGAAAATTTAGGAAAATACAGCCTAAATCTACTTTTTTACTGATCTAGAATCTACATTTAATTTATGGCACAAAGTAAAGGGCCTACCAGAGCCTACCCTACAGTCACAGTATTTAGCATCACATATGACAATTTGGATTTATAGATACAAAATATAATGGCATGTAATAGAGTCTACATGTAGAATTCTAAATCTAGATATCTAGATCTAGATCTATTCTAGATCTGCGTGGACTGTGCAGGCCTGACCTAGAATCTATTCTAGATCTAGACTAGTGCATAGAACATGAACAACGTTGCCAATAATATAGAATCTAGATATCTAGATCTAATATTATCATTGTTGAGGCTGAGGGCAACATGATACATGGGGTCATTCTAAAATGGGAGTCGTTCTAAAATTCATTAATTTTTTTAATCGAATACAAAATACAAGGTAAAAACCAAGAATTCCAGAAAAGCAACAAGCAAGGGGGTTTAGGGGAATTATAATATGTGCTAGCCTATTTTCAAGACAGCCAAAACTAATTTCGTTGTTTCTGCATGGATGATCACCACCACCAAAGCCTCGACTAACTGGCTCCAAGATTTTGCTCCTGGGCAATCCACTACACCTCAACTGAAAAGCCCTCTTCCCCTCTCCAATCGCTCGGCCTGAAGAACTGAAGGGTGCTATCTTTTCAAGATGGCTGCCAAGAACCGAAAAGCGATGCAAAGGAATGCAACCGTTATTCGCATACTTACAATGTCTAAAAACTATAAACCGAAAAATAATAGAGGTTCAACAAATGTTCAACCAGTTCGGGAAATAAATTAGCCAAAACTCGGCTTCTAAACAACTTTTAGAGGCCATTTGCGAGGCGACCCCGTCTCGTAAGAAAAGGCTGGACCGCACCTACGCCCCAGAGTGGCGGGGTCGCAACAGGCTTCTTTTTTTCTTCCACATAATACGCTACGTATCTTGTATTATTTGTTTAAAAGCCGACATACACTGCAAATACGGCGACTGAGAGGAAAAAAATTGAGAGGAATTACTTTCCAAAAATCACTTCCACTTTTGTTAAGTTACAAACTTACCTTCATCTAAAATTTTCTCCGTGTGAATGAAAACATTTGGCAGAGCTTGAATTTGTTTTTTATCTTTTAGTAACTGTGCTAAATACTCAGGCGTGTTACGGTCGTCTTTGTTAGTTTCAGTCCCCATGTTAACAAGCTTTGAGTTCTGTAGCAATCTACCCGAGTTAAGAAATGTTAGAAGGTTTTTCCAAGCTTAACAAACCACAACTCCCTAACACGGATCCCCCCTCTTTCCATCAAACTTTGTTTATGAACACGTGGGGTCACTGCGCATGCGCCGACTTGGCTGAGCGCTCTCGACTTGTCGGGCGAGGGGGGTGAAAGGTTCGCTGTGTGGACCCACTCCTCCTCTCTTCTGGCCTAGCCTAGCCTAGGCCTACACGAGCGCACAACAGGAGAGGGCTTGAAAGAAAGAGAGGAGAAAAGAGGGAGAGAGAGTTAGAGGGAGGGGGGGGGGGGAGGGAAAGGAAAAGGATTATTTCCTTGCTTAGACTTTCCAAAGGAAAAAGTCGGTAATCCTGTTATGAAATTAAGCAACTTCGGACCTCCTGCATGAGAGAAATGCAATAATTGGAATGTGGCTCTTTTAAGTTGGCTACTGTAGCTAAAACAAAATCTATGTATTATTTTGAATAAGTCTCTTTTCAACGGCCAGCCATTTATACATGTACATATGATATTTCACGCTGCTACTGTTGTACAAAATGTGTATCGTCACAAAGGGGGAAAATGAGAAAAGGGACTCATACAGAAAGAACACCCTCCCCCCCCCTTTCCCTCTATATATCTATTCTATCTATCTATTCTTCTTCTTCTTCTTCTTCTTCTTCTTCTTCTTCTTCTTCTTCTTCTTCTTCTTCTTCTTCTTCTTCTTCTTGCCTCCCTCAGAAGAAAAAAAAACTTGGGATGCGCTGGGCCAGGCAAGCCTGCATTTCTCATCAAGAACTTTCTCGCTGACTCGATCGCTCCTCCTCGGCACCAAGAGAGATGATAAACGAGCGAGGGTAAAAACGGAGGCGAAAGTCGAGGACACATGAAGGGAGGTTTGGGGCGGGGGGGGGGTATGTGTATGGTGATAAGGGAAAGGGATGGGTAGAGGCAGGATGGCGTCTAGCGAAGGGTATTATATGAGAACGTGTAGCCAGCAGCTAGCTCGGCGAGGGAGGCATAGCACGCTTCACTGATTTGAGGAATGCAGTGACGGGCCTCATCTCGGAGATTACAAAGCAACAGTAGTAGGAGCTAGCTCCCCCGTCTGTGTCTACTGTCTGCGGGAGGAGGAGATACCTCTAGGAGATGCCGCTGGGAGATACATGATACTCCTAGGAGATACCCTCTGACGTCTGCACCAGGTACCTATATCGTGTGCATAGGGAGGAGATACCCCCACCACCAGATATACCTCTACGGTCTACCTTTTGAAAAAAAAAGAAGTTATCTCTGGGAGATACCTCTAGCTCTATTCTCTACCGTCAGAGTAAAAAAAAAAGTTTCCAAATTATTATAGTGCAAGGGAAAACCCAGAGTTAAAATAGAACTGAGTGTTTCACGGGTCATAGGTAAGA